GGCACTAGTCGACCTAGGAGGGGAAGGAGAAAAAAGTGTCCTTTATGACCCTCTGACAAATTATTATAGACCTCAAAGGATGTCTGTTAAACACCCAAGATGGTTAGTTCCACCATTCTGGCATTTTTAATTACTGTGTGTCTTGCAGATAAATCTTGGGTAATGACCAGTTGGTCTCAAATAAACCTTATCTAGAGATATTTTTCTTGATCTATTATGTATAATTTGTCAGTAGATTGTAGGAATAATATGGTTCCCTCTGGTTTTCGTGACTAGCTAGGCATTGTTTCTCTCTTGTATCGTCTCCCCCCTCTATCATGGTTTTCCCACTTAAGGTGCCTGCACTTCCCCCCCTTTCTTCCTTACTAATACCCTTGCTCCCATGATCCTACCTCTGTTGAACTGCTTCTTTCTCCTTATCCCCTAGGTTCCTCATATACCCTTCCCTCCCCCTCCCCTAATCTGACCCAATTTTTATCCATATCTCCCTTCTTAAGGTCTGTTGCCTACTATTCTTCTCCTTCAGGTTATTTCTTTTCCTTTACATTCACTGTGTTCACTACTACTAAAGTCATCATAGCTCACAGAGGGGTAAGAGATAAAAAGCTAGAAAGAAGACAGGTCTAGGGAAAAGAAAACACCTCATCCCAAGGAGAGGATGGGGGTTGAATTTACCAATTAGACAAATGGGAGAGTGTTCACAGTGTCAGGAACCATCACAAGAACACACTTCTGACATTGTTCCCAAGATGGAGCCATGCTCCCCCAAGTTCTTTTTGATGGGTAACAAATGACAGTTGGTCATGGGCAAGGCTTCAAAGATGCTTGCACTAAGCATATGCACTGAGCTCAAGGAAGATGATGAACCATCATGGGGCAAATGAGTGACTTCCTACTGGGTAGTCCCTTTCCTTATCCACTGAAATAGTCTACCTCATAGACACGGAAAAGCAGAAGAGAAAAACAGAGAATAGCAACGCTGTGTCATGCACATTCAAATTTAAAAGCAGTTTCCACGTTCCTGCTTCTGGGTCCTCATGTCAACACCATAAGGAAAGCAATGTATCATCCCTGACTTCAGAGAAGGAAGTATGCTGGCACAGTGTCAGGTGGCCTAAATTAAAGTCACAGAACATGCAAGCAGTAGGAATTGTGTTCAAGCAAAGACTGCACCACTGCTATTTGGGGGTGGGGGTCACTACACTAGCTTAGAAATAAGAATAGCAGAGTCAACAGAACTGAACCGACCAGAAAAGAAAAATATAAAGGCAATGGTTTTAGAGTATATATGGAATATTTTGGGGATAACGTTTTAATTCATATTCTTCACAGGATAACAGGATGTGAGAGAAGAATCTCTGGCTCCAACAGCACCAACAGCTAGGCTCAGCCACCCATCCTGATATACCAGTTAAACAGACAGAAATGGTGGAAAACAGAGAAACTAGACTCGACCACTGCATTACTGGGAAAAGGAACAAACAAATGGGTCCAGCCACCCCACACCCCTCTTCAGGGTACAGATATGAGCTTCAAGTTTAAGTAGAAGAAAAGCTGGGGCAAGACAAGACATATGCATAATTAAGCAGGGCTGGTCAAAGTACAGTACAACTTTTATCACTGTTTCAACTCTGATCCTGAAGTTACCAGATAATCTATTGTCAACCACTGTAATCTCTTCAGGAGACCAACCTGGTTCCTACCAGATGATCTACTGCAGGGTGGAGACTCTTCATTGTAGATAATTTTTCACAACTTGATGATAATCTGTTTTGTTTTTAGGCCTTGCTATTCCTGGAATCCAAGCTGACTGCAGGTTTAAGACAAAACTTCTTTGTATCTTCAGCCTATACAACCAGCAGGATCAACAGAAGTAAAAGGAGTCAGATCAGAATGAAAGCAAACGAGCAAGGCTTTTATAGGGCTTTGAGTGATGTCAAAGTGCCTATTGCATAGGGAGCATTAGACTGCCTCCTGTGATTTGTGAAGGTGGAAGGCTATGCGAAGTTTCAACACCAGTTTGGAAGGGGGCTTCATTTTGATTGGCTTCTCAGATTGGCCTCAACTAGAACGAGTCTTTTTTGTCTTCATTTCCGTTTTCTACTTTCTAATCCTCTTTGGAAACAGCACCATCATCATGGTGTCACGAATGGATCATCGACTACAAACACCAATGTACTTCTTCCTCAACAACCTCTCCTTCCTAGACCTCTGCTACACCACCAGCACTGTACCCCAGCTTCTGGTCAATCTTTCCGGAATTGACCAGACCATGAGCTATGCTGGGTGTATGACCCAGTTATTCATAGTGCTTTCCCTGGGTGGAACTGAGTGCATACTCCTGGTGGTGATGGCGTTTGACCGCTATGCTGCTGTGTGTCGTCCACTCCACTACATGACCATCATGCACCCCCTTCTCTGCAGAGCATTAGCCATCCTCTCCTGGGTGGGAGGCGTTGTGAACTCTCTGGTTCAGACAGGCCTCATCATGACCACACCTCTCTGTAGCATCCATAAGCTGAACACCTTCTTCTGTGACTTGCTTGTTCTCCTGAAGCTGGCCTGCGAGGACATAAGAGGAACAGAGGCCAATTTGTTGGTGGCTGGAGCCATAATCTTGGGGTGTCCTGTAGCACTGATTTTAGGCACTTATGCTCACATTGCTCATGCTGTGCTAAAGATCAAGTCAATGGCTGGGCGCAGAAAGGCTTTGGGGACCTGTGGGTCCCACCTTACAGTGGTTTTCCTTTTCTATGGCTCAGCCATGTATGCATATCTCCAGCCTGCCCACAGCTATTCTGAGACTGAAGGCAAATTTGTTGCCCTTTTTTATACAATAATCACCCCTATGCTCAATCCTCTGATTTACACCCTGAGAAACAAGGATGTGAAAGGGGCTCTGTGGAAGGCACTAGGGAGAAGCACAGACTCAGAAGTCCAGTAAAATACTGTCTGGTATTTCTCATAGTCTAAAACCTCTTCTGTTGACAGAGGGTCATTAGTCACTAGAAAACACCCCTCAGTGGGTGCTCTGGCTGTATGCCTTACTTACCTGAAAACTGGAACTGGTGGTCTCCTAAAATGCTTTCTAGTTTCGTGTCCAGATCATTGTGCAGCAGGAAATAAGGACGGATTTGTTTTTCAACTTCCCAAAGGAATGAGTTTGGAAGTGAGATAGAGTGATTGTCCTGTGGAGAATGGGTGTGGATTCTAGGCATGTCTGGGAGTAAAAGAAGACTAAATTCAGACTAGCAACACTTTTCCAAAGTCAGTATTCACAGTATGGTTCCAAGTAAAAGTTAGGGTTCATACATCTTTTGTAAATAATTGTGACCCTGGTCATGTTCCCTTAACAACTCAGGGCCCATTTCTAACGCCTTCCACAGTGATGACACTTTTCTTGTATGTGTGTAGGTAAGGGACACATGAACAAAGACATTTCTGGGAGCACATCAAATTTTAGCTGTGACATCATTTTAGCTACTTTAACAAAAAGGCAAAATCAGTAGTGCTTCGGTGACTAAAGGGAGGTAGTAACATCCCATAAGCTGCACTAAGATTCACAATCAGGCTATGTCACATAACACAGAAGGTACTTTCTATTCAATTGACAAGTGTATTGCAACATTATTTACACAGCCACCAATCGGGGTGTCCACCAATGCAAAACAGGTAAAGAACGTGTGGCCCAGATACACAGTGGGACATTAGGGAAAGAAGGAAATCCTGTTGCTTTCACCAAAATGAGCAGAACTAGAAGACGCTGTGTTAATAAAGTACAGCAGAGAATGTCAAATACCCCCATCTTCTCGTTCACACACGGATGCTTCAAAACGTTACAAATTCAATCAGACAAAAATCCAGCATAGAACTGGGGAAATGGGCAGCAGGCCCCAACCTTACTCAAGGGTCTATTGGCAGCTGATTACTGCTGGATAAGAGAGAGTTGATCTTTAAGGGAGTGATAGATAGGCTGACCAGACTCCAGCGGATGAACTCACACCGAGGAAAAACTGGATACACAACCTTAACTCGACAGACGTCAACAAATGCATGAAATCTGTTGGGCTATTCCAACCATTGACAAACCACCCTCACAAAATTAAAAAGCTTCTGCACAGCAAAAGAAAGAGTTGAGTGAAAAACACCACAACAAGAATGGGAGAAAATCCTTGCTGGCTACATAAGAGGATTCACATTAGAGTACAAAGAACTCAAAAAGCTAAATAGAGAGAACTGAAACAATCCAGTCAATAAATGGGCTAAAGAAATGAACAGATGTGAAACACAACTAGTCAATAAAGATATGGGAAAAAAGTTTAATTTCACCAAGCATCAAAGAAATGCAAACTACATTGACAGTCCATCGCACCTCATTGAAAGTGACAGTCAGAAAAGCAACAATTTAAAAACGAGCGGGGGAGGGTGGCTCAGTGGTTAAGAACACTGGTTGTTCTTGCAGAGGACCCAGGTTCGAATCCCAGCACCCACATGGGGACTAACAACTATCTGTAACTGCAGTTCCAGGGACCTGATGCTTTCTTTTGACCTCTGTGAGCACTGCACAACATGGGTGTACTTGCATACATGTAGGCAATACATTCATACACATAAAATTAAAATAATAAATAAATTGGGGGAGGGGCTGGAGAGATGGCTCCATGCTTAAGAGCACTGGCTGTTCTTGTAGAGGACCTGGGTTTGATTCCTAGCACCCACATAGTGGCTAACAACCATCTGTAACTCCAGTTCCAGGGGATCTGATGCCCTCTTCTGACATATGTCAGCATTGTATGACACAGGTGCACTTATATGCATGCAAGCAATACACTCATACACATAAAATGAAA